TGTGATCATTACTATTCTTGCGATCATTCCTAGTCTCAGTATGTTTGTGATTATTACTTATTAGTTTGACTAGTGTATTATACTGTTCCTATTCTCACTATTCATTATCATGGTTTATCATAAATATACACATGATCTATTCTGTGTTGGGTTTGCATTTATCCTTGTTTATCATGGTTTCATTATCACGGTTTATCACGCTTATATACTACATTATCCTACTATTCTGTGGTGGTATCCGAGAGAAAAAATAAGGGCATCCCGAGTCACCCTGGCTACTAAAAATGATGAAACAATCCACGACTGGATGATCCCCGATATTTGTTTTTTAAATATAGATTGGGTTATCATTCCAGAAATAGGGTATAACATAAGACAAGATATAGCTGAAATAACATGGTATAACATGATCTAACTGAAATATCAGCTGAAATACCACTGAAATAACTTATGCTATAACTGAAGATCGTAGATCTAATCTAAGTGGTATAAGTGGTATTTCGGGCTGCTTTTTTTGGGTGATTTTCTTCATCTAATTTCGTTTGAACTGAAAACTTTTCTGCTTCCGAGGAGTCCAAGCTTTCCGAAGATCCCGTGGCCAACGCCCGTTGCGTTCTGCCGAATCTCTGGCGGCGCTTCTTGGAGCCTTGGATCGCAGGCTGATCTCACGGTGACCTCACAACGGAATGATTGGGTAGGTATCAGTTGATAAATTAAAGATAGATCACTTGATATATTTCCAGATATATTGAAATGTAGATACATCAATATTTATATATATACATATCACTAGATATACCCTCTGGCAAACGTTTACATCACTATGGAAAATCACCATTCTATAGCTGCGTAAATATCCACTACTGTATTTCGACTGGGCCATTTTCAATAGTTTATTTTATGTTTACCAGAGGGTAACCTGATTTCAGTTTTTTGTTCAAATTTATCATTGGCTAAATCCACCAGACATGGGCATTGAATTCTTTTTCAAAGTTCTAACTCTGGTCGAATTTACTGGAGTCTACCAGGATTTGAATGGGTTTATAACTCCATTAACTCAAGTTATATCATGTTTTCTTATTTCTCATCAACCCTATAATTCAGCAAGGATCCTTCTTGGGTTTATTATTGGCTTTTACCAATATTCTAACATTCTGTAAAACCCATATTAACCCACATTAACCCATATTAATCCACATCAACCCTGTATTAACCCTATATCAACCCGCATTAACCCTATATTAACCCGATATCAACCCGCATTAACCTTATATTAACCCGCATTAACCCTATATTAAGCTCACATTAACCCTAGATTAACCCTATACTAACCCCATATCACCAAGCTACTGCCGAAGGGCACACTCAAACCGGAACACTGCAGCCGTTTTCTGGTCACTGCGCTGTAGCTACGCGTTTCGTCCTCTGTGGGACTCGTTCAGGCCGCGCTTGTAGCCAAAAAGGGCATTGAAACGTATGCCAAATGTCTAGCAAGCTCCAAAAAGCATGTGCAACACTTGGCAAATTCAACATGGTTTGTGCGCTTAAAAAACCAGAACCCACCTCCCACCACATCTGGTTGCGCAAAGTGCAAAAAAGCGGAAGTCAAAGTGGTTAGTGCCAATTCAAACTGAAATTTCTCCTGAAATTGTTGCATTGGATGCTATAGGAAAGAAAAACTTCTACACGAGAAGTGAACCTAGACTGCACAAGAGACGCGTGTTTTTTCAAAACACGTTTTATGACTGAGACGTTCAAGAAGAACTGTACTGCTGGCGGAAAAAGAACTCTCGTGGTTGCTGCTGACTGGCTGTCGGGCATTCTAGTTTCTTGACAGTTTGCATGGCAAGGCGTCGTGCCTCCTCTTTGCAGTAGCCTCTGTGTGTCAGTTTGTCAAAAAACAGGTCTAGGTGCTTGGCAAAAGCTCTGGCATTCTTCCGGTTTGTTCGGTGTAGCCTCTGCGTCTCACCAATCACCAAAGCTTTGAACACACTGGGTGGGTGACATGAAGTCCGTGGCAAGTACTGTACAAGTATGCGTTCTGCGGCTTTCGGAAAGTCTCAAAAGAAATGGAATGATCTCCCATGTGCAGTGTCAAACTAAGATCCAGGAAATTCACTGCCATACCGGAACCGGACATCTTTTGAGTCCAGAGGAAATATTGCAAAAGCATCATCTATGTAACGCTTCCACATGAAAATCCAGCAACATCTCTGAACAAGAAAATCGTCAAAAGCAGCAAGGTACAAGTTGGCAAACACGACGGAGGCTTGCAATCCAGTAGGTAGACCGCTTTGTACATGCCATATGTCTGCTTCAAATTCGACATATTGTACGGCAAGCAGAAACTCAATGAGCTTGACTATCATGGCCCCAAAACTGGGCTTCGAACTCCAGAAAAATCTCACTTTGCTGGCTATGACACTGAGGAAATGCCGTTGGTCAATGCTGGGGTATAGATTCCGCACGTGAACAAAGCAAAACCAGGAGGGACAACGCAATCCACAAGCTGTTTCACAAGATCTTGCGAAGACTGTATGACATGCAGCTGTCTTTGTAGCATAGGCGCCAGCGCTTCAGCGAGAAAAACTGACAAGGGGCTAAACCAAGCCTTGCTCAGGTTCATGATTGGCCTGCCTACCACTGGGGACTTGTGCAACTTCACTCTGAGTCGAAAACTGCCAACATTGTTGGAACCGAAATCCTTGCGGATGAACGCTGCTAGTCTGGTGGATATGGAACCCGCAAGCACTCATTGCTGCAAAAAACTATCCAGCAGGAATTTCAAATTGGCAGAAGAATCCAGGAAGTCTGCACAGGAGACTTTGTACGAGGCTTCCTCCAGCAATCTCAAGCACTCTTGCCTAACCCAGTGCTTGGGCTCAATTGCATCACCAAGGTTCTTGTCGCAATCCACTACGCTGATTTCACGTCGGTGTTGCCACAGCCATTTCCGAGCAGCTTTGTCAATGAAATCCTCATTTTTGACAAGTTCTCGCGGAGAATAGCTACTGAGTTCTTCTCGCAGCAGCCTGCCATATGCAGAAATGATTGGATCCTCTTTGGGCTTCCAAGCAGTTCGGAGACGGCAACGTCTGAAAAACGTAGGTTCAAGTGCATGTCTGTCAAAAAACACTGCCGTATTCAAAGACCTTTCCAAAGCAGAAACGCTTGTCAAGACTTTAGCAGCTGAACTGGCACATCTGTCCGCCACAAACTTACCGCCTTTCGACAAATACGCAAGGACATACGTGGGGATCTCAAAATCTGGCGAAGTCAAAATATGAACTGGCATGCAAAAACGACGTTCAAGCTGTACAAAAGGGACATTTTTCTCAGTCTAAACTTGAGGTACATGTCAAAGTCGATGCTCCAATCATCCTTCCAAAAACTTCGCCTCCTAGGTCTGTGTGATAGTCAAGACCTGTTGTGTGGGGCTGGGGTCTTCATACGCACTTGCTTGTGACCGGTGCCTTTGGACTGCCCTTTGCCTCGGGTCTGCTTTCCTTTGCTCTTGCCCTTACCCTTGCCCTTGCTTTTGTTTCTGCTGGATGCCCTAGAAGCCCTCGAAGACTTGGCACTCTTCGCAGACTGGCGGGATCTGTGCGAACCAAGGCTGGACTGCCTACTCTTGATAGACGTTCTGGAGCCCGATCTGCCACGATCTTTGTCATTGGATCCCATGGGCTTGGACTTGGGCTTGGACACAGTTGAGCCGACCGAGATATTGTACTTCTTTGCCGAATCTGGATGCTGCTTGACAAAATAGGCCAGGGCACCAGTGGTTGGTACGACATGCTGTGACTTCTGTGTTCCGCTTTTTCCTGACAGAGTTGCAAATTCCAACACTGCCATGGCCAAAATCTTATTGACGTCCATAATCCTGAACTCGGCTTCAGCTTTTGTAAGTTCATCCTTTCTCTTCTGTTTGGATTCCTTGTCCTTCTCCTGCTTGGACATGGCCTTCGGATGCTCTGTTCGGAAGACCAGTTCAGCAAACACCTAAAGTTGTTCTTGCAACCGAGTCTTGGCCTGCGCGCTCACCAAATTGCCATGCTTCTGCTGCCAACAAAGAAAACGATCTTCAAGAAGAATGAGTTGCTTTGTTGCGTGGACTTTGTCCTCAAAGAAAGCTGCGCACTGTCGCTGGTAAGCAAACACAAAGCTCTGGCATTCCTGAGCATGCCGGCGTCTCATCGCTCTGAATGCTGCCTCAATGTCGAACGGACCTGCAACGTCAGCTCTGACCTTCTTCAAGCAAAGCCAAAGTTGTGGTCAACTCCTGGGCGTTGGCTTTGAAAGCCTGAGGCCACTGCCAACTTCTGGTGCTTTCATCTTGGAACTGCTTGTGAAGTTCACCAGACACTGCAATGTCTTGATACTTCTGCTGCAAATTGGCTTGTGTGACATGCTGTTGCAGAGCATTGCGATAGTCACGGGCCCACTCCTTCAAAACAGGTTGGAGCGAAGGATCGAAAGTGCCGAGCATGTCGTCTGGATTGTTGTATGCCGTGGGTGTCTGCGTTTGCTGCTTGAGCACATCCATCTGTTGCTGTAGCAACTGGTTCTGCATTTGGTGTGACTGAACCAACTGCAACAAAAGTTGCTGGCTACTTGGCATGTTCTGTGCTTCTGCTGGAGCTGGCAATCCTGGAGGCGCTGTCAAGGCTGCATGAGCTGGGTGTGGATGACCTCCATTAGGCCGACTACGACTTCGAAGAGCCGCGGCTGAGATCATGGAATTAGCACGAGGTGCAGGACGCTCCATGGCGAATGTGCTGGTAGTTGCGAACACTCTACTGCTGAAGGGCTCACTCAAACCGGAACACTGCAGCCGTTTTGTGGTCACTGCGCTGTAGCTACGCGTTTCGTCCTCTGTGGGACTCGTTCAGGCCGCGCTTGTAGCCAAAAAGGGCTTTGAAACGTATGCCAAATGTCTAGCAAGCTCCAAAAAGCATGCGCAACACTTGGCAAAAACAACAGCATGCTTTTTTTCCCCCATGGAAAAAAACCCGTTTTCGGTCTCCGAGGATTCCTACGTTGCGCAGTGCAGCAGCGACCTCGAGGAGGCGCTGCGCCGCGTCGTCGACGCGGCGAACGCGTCGATGCCGCGCATCGTCACGGTACCCACGGAGGCGGAGGATGCGGCGAAGACGCTTGGAGCACGGTGGAGTGGATGGGGAAAACTCTGTGTTATATATATATATATTTCTATTTATAGTGATTAATATATATATATATATATTTATATTTATATATCTATTTTCTAGTGATAAATGGGATTCATATGGAGATACCCTCTGCTTATTTAACATAGCTACGGAAAATCCATGATAAATGGAGGTTTATAGCTGGGAACATCATCTATCAATAATAATAGTTAAGTATGATATAATGATGGTATGATATATAATAATAGTTAAATATCTGGATAATATGGTTGATAATATGGTTATAATGTTGTATTATATACTGGGAATAGTACACAGTTACTGATGTGGAGATAGTAACCATATGGTTATTAATGATAAGGGGATTCATACATATTTGTAAATAAGGGTTAAACTGTGTGTAGGGGGTAAAAGTACATAGTTCTACTGAATATATATATATATATATCACATTCCGGTTATTTAACATAGCCATGGAAAATAGCCCATAGAAATAGATAGTTTACCTATTAAAAAATGTGATTTTCCATGGCTATGTTAAATAACCAGAGGGTGTGTATATATATATATATTATAGATATGGGTTAATAATGGTTAAATAATATGGATATATATATACACGGTTAAATATGGTTGTATCTGGAAAATATGGTTAATAGTAGTTAAATATGATATAATGATGGTATGATAATAATATGGTTATATTAATGGTTAATAATATGGTTACTAACTGTATATATATTATTATATATGGTTGGTGGTTTGGAACATGAATTTTTGACTTTCCATATATTGGGAATTTAGTAAGCCCAACTGACTTTCATATTTTTCAGAGGCGTTGAAACCACCAACGAGTATAAATATGGGTTAATAGTGGTTAAGCATGGTTAATGTTATGTAAATGATGGTTGATAATGGTTTAATGATGGAACATAATGATACAATGATGGTATGATATGTATGATTAATGATGGTATGATATGTATGATTTATATGATAAATAGTGGTTAATAGTTTTGTTTGAAATAAAAACTAACTAAGATGGTAATTAGTGAGTAATAATTATGATTAATGGGATTATAGCACAGTTAGATGGTAAACTATTCTACTACCACAGTTGTACCAGAATGGATAAGCGGGAAAATTTGGAAGAACTGGATCCATTGTGTTTCTGAAGAGATAAGGACAAATCAACTTGGAATCTGATATATGATTGTGTGTTTCCTCATTTGTCCTTCGGATTTAGTGTGGATATGGATGGCATGTTTAATTGGAATATATGTGTATATATATATACTGGTTGTTGGTTTGGAACATGAATTTTATGACTTTCCATATATTGGTAATAATAGTCCCAACTGACTAATATTTTGAGAGGGGTAGGTGTACCACCAACCAGTATATATCGTAATGTACCAAATGGATTCAACTGGTAATTTCATGTGATATCTGAGATCTTTCTTTCGTACTTCAAACTGAAACATACAGTCATATAGTTTCCAAACGGCAATGGTGATGAGGGTTACCATGGTTACCCCCATTTAGAGAAACACATGGTCAGAAATTAACTTTCCATCCCATTCCAATTATTGATTGTCAAATAAATTCAAACTATCTTTGATGTAAGGGTATATCGTGGCATATCAATATCAGGGTAACTCTGGCAAGTGGCATTTTTTAGGGAAATGATGATCAACCAGCGAATAATCCTCTCCCCCTAATACGAAACCCCGGCCCGGCCCCCAAATAATAAACACCTCCGGTAGTTTTTATTATTAGGTGGTATTTATTATTAGGGAACCAACGCGGACCCTAACAATAAATTAAAACCCTTCATAAAAAAACCATGTTTTTGATTTCAAAATCAATTAAATTTCGTTTCACAACCCAAGTAAAATGTTGCCAAAAATTGGATTTCGAAGCGGACTCTAATAGTAAATCAAAACCCTTAATAAAAAGACTAAAAAAATCGATTTCAAACGGACCCTAATAAAAAAACACCCCGGGGCTAACTAGTTTTTATTATTTGGGGGTGAAACCCACAAATAGTAGCTTTATTTCTAAATTGTTTTCTAAAGGGGATCAATTAAAAGTCAAATTGGCCATTTTCATAAATTTTCCAAAATTGGAGACGGACCCTAGTTTTTAGTATTTGGGAGGGGTTTAGTTAAAGGGGGGAAGGGATTACTTTGAGACACAAAGCCTTTCCTATCAGTTTTGACCGTCAGGCTGGTGATTTCTAGTCTTCAACCAGCCCCAATTGGTTTTCGATAAACTTTGAACCATAGCCATCTGAAGTCTGAAGATCAAGACTTACTCTGCCTCGCCATGTCGTTCCCGATTTGAATGCTCAAAATCCCATCACGTGTCCACTTTTTCATGGAATCTCATCTGTAAAATGGGGTAATATGGTTAAAACAACCATAAACTAACATAGCTATTGAAAATTGCCATAGAAATAGTTGATTTACCAGTAAAAAATGGTGATTTTCCATAGTTATGTAAACGTTTACCAGAGGGTAATATGTTCGCGTACGTTGTCAGGTCGGATGATCTGAGGAACCCCCTCTGCGCGTTAGCCTAGAAACCATCCGGCGATTGTCGGTCAAGACTCTCAAGACCAATCCACTGGAGATACATAGCCCATATAAAACCATACCCATAGGATCCATGTATGCTATATATGGTAACATTTACCATCCATATACCCCCAATGTTAGCATATATACCATACATGGATCCTATGGGATAGAAATTGATAGAAATTGGGTCAATCGGAATTCCAGGATCCGAATTAATCGAGGTACGTAAACGTACCAGGCCTGTTAGGCCGTATTTTGCTGGGATATTCCCTGAAATTTAGGCTTAAAAAATAGGCCAAACATATATGGTAGGTATCTCCAATGAATGAGTTCCTGCATGGCCATTGATGGGAGGTATATCATCCCCTTACATAGCCCAAAAATAATAGACATCATAGACCTTCTCTGTGGTAGCTCCAATTTCCCTCGCTGAGTCATGGCTGATCATGTCCTGGTACCCTGTGCACGAGCACAAAAGGTCTGGAGGAGCGATCATTCTGAAGTATCGCGACGAATACTTCGAGGAGCGGTGCGATTTTAGTTTTTTTGTAGGTCGTCAGCAGTCCAAGGACAGTAAACTTATCAACAAAAAGATAGAAAAGTAGAGAATCCCATCTCCAAATGTCAACATGTTCCAAAAAATATCCAAAAATCAGGTGAGTTCATTTTTCGTACATGTTGTATTATCCAATTGGGGTAACCATGATGTACCGCAGGTGAAGTCTTCCGCTCAATCAGAGCTTGCTGCAGATGACCAGTGGGCTTCGCGAAAAGCCGCCCAGATCCAACGCGTATGGCGACGCTGTGCCAAGAAGGCGGTTTCCGGCGGTTTCATGGGGATGCCGATTCCAAAGAAGTGGAGGTTTTAGTGGGACAATCATCTATAAGTTAGGGATTTTCGATTGCCGTTTGATGACCGGAGGGTAATCAGAAAAAAACGAAAAACATTGGCATATGTATAGGTAAACCTCCACCAAAAGTGGAGGTTTCACTCAGAATCAACATATTATGGGGAAAGTAACTGGTGCATTGGATCATATTTGTTTCCAGTGTCATCATAGATTTTTTGGTATTCCCTGCTGCTGCTTTTTTGCTTCCTGTGGAAGCCCCATATAGGTTGAGATGGGAGAATCAACAGGTGCCAGAATCTGTCCGGAAATTGGGGGTACCGCCAAATTGCATTTTTTTTCACGACCTCACCGCGACCTCACTGGGAATGATGATGTGTAGGGGTGACTATCCCCAAATGACCGCAAGTTTCAGGTTAGTGAATTATTTAAATTTACCCACATATAATCGTATATATATATAAAAACTGTATATCCCATGATATCACCATGTTTTATGGTTAAACCGTTAGTGAAATATTATAACTTACCCAGGTATAATATTGTGAAAAATGGGATGTTGATATTTTGCTTGCATGGAATACAGTGCTTGGGTGGTTCCTGTAAGTTTGTGAATGGCCATGGTAAGTTCCCTCACTGGGTTATCCCAGGTACTATCCTCATCAAATTCCACTGGAAAATCCATGTGAATCAGCACTGGTTCCTGATAGGATCACTGGAATGATGGGAATTGGATTCGCGGAACACATCGAAAGCCTGATTTCAGCTATTTTCAGATGAATTAGCTGATGATTTAGCCAGTCATATATCATATTCTATTGATTATATACGTTATATAATTATATACCCACTATATCCCACTATATTCCCAGTATATACCCAGTATGTATATATATATATACATATATATATATATATTATAAATCTATATATATATATATATATCTATATATATATATTATATCTCTATATATATATTATATCTATATCCCATTAGTCTTGGTGACATGGCGAAATATCAGTCTCAGGCTTCGCCGCCGGCCGCAGAGGTTTTGGCAGAAGCCCGACTGGGGAAGCCATCTACCTGGTGTTGTCTTAATTTGTTTATAAACCTTGGTTAACCCACTTAATAAGTTAGGGCAACTGGGGGATGGTGATCAAAAAATCTGGTTATTTCATGTTATTTCGGGATAGACCCTCTGGTAAATTAACAGTTGGACCCTGAAAATGACGCCTAGTTTTAATGGAAACGAATCTTCCAACCCCGAATTAATTAACCAGGGTCGAACTGTTAATTTACCAGAGGGTAAACCCTGGTTAACCCACTTAATAATTACCCTCTGGTAAACTAACATAACTACGGAAAATCACCATACACCATAGAACATAAACATAGTCAGTGTCACATAATTTTACCAATTATGAGCACAAATCCATTTGAACATGTGTAATTCAGTTATATAATCAACATTACCAATATGAACAATTTGTAAACCCTGGTCAAGCCACTTAATGATTCACCATGAATATAAACCATTGACAGTACATCACCACTAGTTCATTTATCCAAGTAGGAACTAGTTGGCAACCCTGATTAATAGGGACGGACATATCCTATTAAAAACAAACGTTGTCAACTAGTCCCCAAAAACAGGGGGTAATCCTCCCAGGATTTAGCAGCAATCTATACTCCAGGCTATGGCAAAATTTCTTAGGGCTTGTCTTGGGTAGTTTCTGGGGCCCCAAGTTCCATTGGGTTTTTGTTTCTGCCGAAGTGACATTTTTTTGCGGGCGGTTGATGATGGATATCATGTTCATCCTTCCCCATGGTTTGGAGTAGCCCAAGCTCGAGAAACACCAACATAGGGACCGGCACATGGGTCAATCAAGATCACCAATAGGTAGCTTGTTGGTGGTGACTGGAACCATGGAATCTTATGACTTTCCATTCAGTTGGGAATTTCATCATCCCAACTGACTCATATTTTTCAGAGGGGTAGGCGAAAAACCACCAACCAGATAGTCAAGGAAGCCGACGTGGCTTGAAGGCTGCCACTTAGCAATGGAAAATGGCTGAGTTCACAGTCCTAGGAGGTACATCCTAAGCCCACTAGTCACAACGAAAGAAAAAAATACTGCTATTAAGGGAGATATTAAGCATATCATAGCATATAAATCCATTATAATCCATTTATATCCTCTAAAGAACTGGGTGAAGTAACAGTTATCTGGGTAAATTATCGCCCATTTGGGGATGATTTCCCTATAAAAACCATCATTTTTCTGGGTTCGGGAGAACAGGCTTCGGTCGTTGTAATTTTACCCAGATTAATGTTTAATGGTGAGCACCATTAGTGATTAATATCTATCACCATGAGAATGGATCATGGATCTAGCACCTTTACTATCTTAAACTACATATCGAAGGTATATCCATATCAATCCCATTAAGGAACATCGCAACAAAATGAATATATTATATACCTGGTTGGTGGTTGAGAACATGTGTTTTTTTTCCATTCAGTTGGGAATTTCAGAAAACTCCAACTGTTACTCACTCCATCATTTTTCAGAGGGGTAGGTATACCGCCAACCAGTTATATAATCATATATAATCATATATAATCATATATAATCATATATAATCATATATAGTCATATATAATCATATATAATCATATATAATCATATATAATCATATATAATCACATATAATCATATATAATCATATATAGTCATATATAGTCATATGTAATCATATATAATCATATATAATCATATATAATTATGTATAATCATATATAATCATATATAATCATATATAATCATGTATAATCTTATATAATCATATATAATCATATATAATCATATATAATCATATATATAGTCATATATAGTCATTTCTAATCACATATAATCATATATAGTCAAATATAATCATATATAATCATATCCTGTAAAAAACCATCATTTTTCTGGGTTCGGGAGAACAGGCTTCGGTCGTTGTAATTTTACCCAGATTAATGTTTAATGGTGAGCACCATTAGTGATTAATATCTATCACCATGAGAATGGATCACGGATCTAGCACCTTTACTATCTTAAACTACATATCGAAGGTATATCCATATCAATCCCATTAAGGAACATCGCAACAAAATGAATATATTATATACCTGGTTGGTGGTTGAGAACATGTGTTTTTTTCCATTCAGTTGGGAATTTCAGAAAACTCCAACTGTTACTCACTCCATCATTTTTCAGAGGGGTAGGTATACCGCCAACCAGTTATATAATCATATATAATCATATATAATCATATATAATCATATATAATCATATATAATCATATATAATCATATATAATCATATATAATCATATATACTCATATATAATCATATACAATCACATATAATCATATATAATCATATATAGTCATATATAGTCATATATAATCATATATAATCATATATAATCATATATAATCATATTTAATCATATATAATCATATTTAATCATATATAATCATATATAATCATATATATATATAATCACTATAAATGGAGATTCATGACCATTAATGAATGATTTCTGAAAAATCACCATGGATGTTCCACGCCCGAGGCATCGAGTGAAGCAGCTGAAGCAGCTGAAGCAGCTGCAGATCCTCCGCAGGCGAGAGTTTTTCAAAGCTGGGTGGCTTTTTGACTGCACCGGGAATCTATTAAAAAATTAAACTATAGTTGGAATAAGTTAGTTATTGGCACCAACTAAGTTGAAACTGGGTTATTACCAAACGATCGCTGTGTATATATATATAAAGTGACCATAGTTAAAGGGGGCCCATATCCTAACAAATATGGGGTATTGCCATCCCATGGTTTTTCTTGCCATTGATTCATGGGGAAAGCGACCTCTGACGAAGCAAAAACGGATCCATCAAACCCAAATTTACCACGTTTATCAGTGGTATAAACCATCAACATTTGGGTGGTTTATAATTATCTATTGTTGTTTACTAACAGGACCTCCATTTCTGTTGCCTTGATTGCATCAACATGGCCAACCAACCAGATTTAAGACACGGAATATGGGATGAGAATTCATGAATTCATCAACGACAACATTATGCCCATTTATGCCCTGGTAATCAGCTCCATGGCTTGCTGATAAAATATCCATGTAACTAGTTCGATGATGTTCCCATTTGAATGCCCGTTTTGTTTGGTGATTTACTAGCTAGACATGTTTGGTGACACCCGAGGGTCTCCAATTCAATATCTCGTTATTAGCCATTATTATATAATCATTATTAACCCACTATAGACCCATTTATAACCATTTGATAGCCCCTTATAGTCCAACCCATCACTATTAATCATTATCATCCATGTTACTACAATTTTTATTCCAATTTAATATATCCATTGGGTATCAAAAACCTTTCAGCAGAAAACGTTCAGCACTCTCCAAGCACAGGCCACCGCTGTGATCGCAGATGCCGTAGAGAAATCCGACGGGTATCCAGCCGTTCATTCCGCGGCTGCAGCTGTGGCACCGGTGATACCGGTGGAGGTCTCCCTTGAATCTGTTGAAGGAGCTTCGGAGATGGAGGAAGTGCGAAGCGTCCAGAGTGACTTGCCCAACAAAGGCCCACTGAATTCGATGCTTACGGTTATTGATATCTATACTGGTTGGTGGTTTGGAACATGAATTTTATGACTTTCCATATATTGGGAATTTAGTAACCCCAACTGACGAACTCATATTTTTCAGAGGGGTAGGTCAACCACCAGCCAGCTATAGTTGGACGGGGTGTAAACAAGCAACATTTAACTTTTTTGATCACCAAATATCACCAACAGTGATGGTTTAACATGGTTTAAAACATAGTTCAACCATAGAAAAATCACAATTCAAAAAAACATCCCCATCCTTGGGTAATCTTGGTTTACCGTAGTTAAATCCTCTAGTTGTTTTGCTATTAGCCTCTGGTAAATTAACAGTTGGACCCTGAAAATAGCCTAGTTTTAATGGAAACGAATCTTCCAACCCCGATGACTGCCAGGGTCGAACTGTTAATTTACCAGAGGGTAAATGGAAAATAACCGCAACCAGCTTAAAAGATGGACATTTTTCTGTGGACTACCAGTCAGATTGACTGTGATAGATAACTGACATGCCCCAGTTATTGATCCAAATTCTGGGGATATGTCATCACTATGTGTAATGTGGCAGAATGCGGCAGACCCAACATAAACCATGCCAGATTTCACCATATGGTGGGAGCCCACCATTCCTAATGGTCCTAGTGTATGTTGAAATTCTGGGCAACAAAAAAAAGCGCATGCCACAGGATGGCTCAAACAATCAGCTTCGTAGTTTCGACGTGATCCTCGCACTTTCAAAAAAAAGTGCTGGCTTGGAGTGCTGGCTTGGACCCACTGCGGTTTGCCTTGTAGGATTTTGCTTCTTTTTGCGTGCATGGGAGCTCAACATTGTTTGATGTTTTGGAGTTGTCGATTAAAATATATAGCATTCCCAGGGGATCAGTCTGTTCATTGTGGCTGATGAACGATAGTTATCATTCGCCGAAAACAATCCATATTTCCGATAAGTTCATTTAAGTTATATACTTTTTTTACATACACTATCTGCTACAGTACTATTACCCACACAAATCCGGGTGGTATATGGCTGTGGGTCAAAACCCTGGTACCCCTTCTGCTCACACTGAAAATAGGTTCAAAATACGGTATAATTGGTTTTGACCCATCGAAATATGACTCACTTCCCACTTAGAAGTGCAGTTCCAGTGAACTGTTCGTGGATAAATTTCAGCACAGCTTTCTTGCGACCCCATATCCCTGAAACAAGTATGACAAGTATGTCGGTTTAGTTCACACCTCAGCTGCAATCGGTGGTATCCCATGCTCAAATCCCATAAAACAATCACCATGAAATCCGATTGAATCAGCATGAATTCCGGTGACGTCACCTAATGGCAAATCTCATGAAAGAATCATTTTTCTGGTTGGTGTTTTGGAACCATGAAATTTTATGACTTTCCCATCATATTGGGAATGTCAGAAAATCCCAACTGACTTTCACTCCATGATTTTTTAGAGGGGTAGGCGAAAAACCATCAACTAGATCATGTTTTATCGTTTTTTATCCCATGTTTCATGGTTAAAACATGTTAAACCCCAGTGAATTCATAGTGATCCGCTTTTTCAAAGCGAGGTGTCCTGACTTGGACGAGCCAGATGTCTAGATTGGCATCGGTGGCATCGGTGGCATCCGCAGGTGGGTCAAATCCTTGGGTCAAATCTTTGGATTTTGGAGGCTTCCGACAGTCATGGGCCTACCCCACCAATATCACTTGATAATTACTTGATATAGTTCCAGATATATCACTTGATATATTTCCAGATATATATATATATATAGACATATATATTGAGATGTAGATACACCAATATATCTAGATATACTCTCTGGTAAACGTTTATATAACTATGGACAATCACACTTTTTCATGGGTAAATCAAGTATAAATGGCAATTTTCAATAGCTATGTTGGTTTACCAGAGGGTATCATCCATTTTTTAAGGGTGGATTTTCCAAAACGCATCAACTGGAGATGTTTGGGGCTACATCCATGTTGTTGGAAATCTCCAACTTTTCTCTGTCATGTTACCCCAACATTACTCCCTTCCCCCGAATATTAAGCAGCAGAAACCATGGTAGATGTAGGGAATGTTCACTTTGTGACCATAGAATGGGGGTGTTCAATATTAGGGGGATGGGATTACCCTCCGGTAAACTAACATAGCTATGGAAAATCACCATTTTTAATCGGATAATAGGTAAACCATCTATTTCTATGGGCAAGTTTCCATGGCTTTTTCTATGTTTACCAGGCCGGGTACTCATCATGTTTTCCTGAAAAAAATGGCCATGAAATCATGGCGCTGGCACAGCAGGTGACGCGGGACCCTCGAGATGGGATCGTTTCCTGCTGGACGCCGACCACTTTTTGGACCTCTTCCCCAGAAGCGTCCCTGAAGTCGAAGGCCGAAGGGTGCCCCAGGGCTCACGAAAAATCGCTGAACATAACTCCAGTTGAACTCTCTATTTGTTGGGTTTATGGTAGACATATCGAAGTAGTTAGTGGTTATAGAGCAAGTTATCATCGGGGCACCACCTTGATGTGGAAACCTTAGCTGAGAACTAAGTTGTGCTGGGGGGTCCATGAATTTCCGTTCAAAACAACCAAAATCACAGAACTAGTTGTGGAATGTTGTGGATTTTCTGGCAGGTTTGGTTTCCATGAAACCTTGGTTTCTTTTCCGGGAGTGGTATGGCAATAGGCAATAAGCGTTGTCTCGAGATCTTGTCATTCAGGGAGTCCTTGATCTGTTCCACCAATACTAGAAGGTGCGGCCCACACATAGAGTGGATGCATCACAGGGTATACTAATATACCCCTAATAGCCATCAAAGAATAGGGAAAATGATGCTAAACATGCACTGAGGGGTACCCGATTTTCAGACAAACTCACGACATGTTACTCTTGGGGTGATCTTATTGTGCTAACGACTTCGTGAAGGTTTATGATATATCCCTCCAGGTGCTTGGACATAAACCAATTGATGTCAGGTGGATAGCAGATATTTCACTCCAAGGGTTGAACATACCCTCCAGTCCCAGCAACTGGGGTAAACACCCCAGGGAATCTCACCCTAAGATTATCCTGTCGAAAGCCATGGGTTTCTTGTTGGGGATGAAGCCACGACTCATTGGAAGACTTTTGGGGATGGGATGACTTTCTTCATGCTTTGTCCGTTTATCTCGTTTGGATGTTCGAATTGATGGAAGCCGTGCGTTGATCTCGTGGATCTCGGCAGCCGTGGCGTGCATTGGAATGATGAAAGTGTAGTGCATTATGCAAAGCAATGCTAGTAATGTTGGTAAAGCAATATTAAACCATCCCCAAATGTACAATTTTTATGGATGGTATTACACGTATCAATCCATACGGGTGGTTTATGATTGCTTTCCCAACAATAGTTGTTTTTTTTCCTACAAGCAACGCAATTCGATGACATGTGATGTCATGCTCTGATATAGCGTTATATGATGTTATATGATGGTATACACTATACACGACGTAATGTTTCATCTCATAGAACAAATCTTCGCTGGGTCAATCTTTCCTTTTGGGCTCCGAGAGGCAGCTTTAAGCAGAGCTTCGAAGCAGTGATCACAGATGGAAGAGCACTCATGAAGGACTCGCGTCGGTGCTGGAAGGTTTGAACTCCCTCGACTTCACAGATCTGAACCGTCATGGAAGCGTCATGGAACGAGTGGGAAAAATCCGAGTTGTTTTTTTTTCTGTTGGATGAACTCACGTGTGGGAATGAAGAACAATGAAGAACATGAAACAGAGGTGTAGAATCCGCTTGTTTATGGGCTCTCACATGAAGTTGGGGTGTAGTCCCCAGAGAGAAATTCCTGGTTGCCAGCTGGTTATGAGTGAAAACTCTGTGCCCTTCATGCGCATAATCAATCAGAATAAGAGAATAAGGGAAATCATCCCCAAATGGCCGCAAGTTTCATGTCAGTCAATGATTCAAGATATTCAAGAATTTACCAAAAATATGTAGACAGATAGAGGCGACTAGAGAGATCATAGACTGATAGTCCAGTCAGAAAGATAGTCAAGTTTGAGGTGAGTGAATTATTATGAAATATTATAATATATAATTATTAATATGAATATAAAATATATGTGAATTTACCAAGTTAAATGGTTTGAGAGTAGTCACCAAGGTGGGCAAGTGAAAGAAACTTCGAGTTGATTCAGTTGGTTTATTGAAGCCAAAGTTGTTTTTGTTTTTCGAGTTGGTTTTTATTCTAGTATCTATATCGTTTACATTGTCTAAGTAGAAAAGTGAATATATCTGGATACATATACTGTACTTATTCAGTTTATAAATGCAGAAATAACGCTTGAATATCACTTGATATATTTCCATATATATATATACATATATATATATATATTGAGATGTAGATACACCAATATCTCTAGACATACTCTCTGGTAAACTAACATAACTATGCAAAAACGCAATTTTTAGTGGTTAAATCTACTATTTCTATGGCCATTTTCAGTAGCTATGTTTGTTTACCAGAGGGTATGTACCATCTGGTTATTTAACATAGCCATGGAAATCCCGTAAATAAATGGATGTTTATAGCTGGGAAAACCATCTATTTCTATGGGCCATTTCCCATGGCTATGTTAGTCATAACCAGAGGGTAATATAATTATATACACATATATACAGTTCATAACCATATTATTAAACATTATTATAAACATATTATTATCATATCATCATTATATCATATTTAACATAGCTATATGTTGTATAAACCAAGGTTCACATCACATCACGGGCACCACCGTGTCTCGTGGGCAAATCATCGAAAAGAACGGGGCATGTTCCAGTGCCATGTTTGATGACACCAGAGGGTAAAGCCATGAAGATACTATGGTGAACCCATCGTTATGCCAATGAATCCAATCCCGATTAAACCATATAAAACCATAAGAAACCATACAAAACCATATAAAACCATATAAAACCATACAAAAAACCCATGATTCTCCCAATTTTCTCCTCATTTTTTTCTCCATGTATGTGTTTTTGAGCCCCAAACGTTCAAGATCCGACAGCCCAGGAGATCATCATTCCAATGACACAGTACCTGCGAAAGAAGCATAAGAAACTTCCTGAAGGTCGCTACGAAACGCTGCGGAGTTTCATCTGGATCCAACTGAAGCTGGATCCAACACGTGGGGCACCTGATGAGTTTTGAAAAGAGCTAAGTTGGTGCCAATTTTCATTCAAGTTCACGGTGGTTTATGATATTCATAACTATATATATATATAATATAGTTAATGGAGTTTATAAACCAACAATGGTATTTGTCCAACAATGACATTTATAACGAACTAGTTAATCGGGTTTTAAGAAACCAGCAAACATAACTGGGGGGGGGCACATCGTATGTGTGTGAAAATTCATAGATTGTTCATTGAAAGTAAGATCCAAATCCCAAGTCTGGAGAATACTGAGGGTAACTAAAATCCAGTGAATTCTGGATAAATTATTTCTATAATTAACGGATCATTAAGATTCATTATTAGCTGATATTAGGATTCTAACTGATTATTAGGATTTCCAGTGAATTCTAAATACAGTAATTTTCCCACCTCAAACCAAAACAATTGGGATTGAATCTATTTGAACCCAATTTTATCCAAATTTAACTCATGTTTATTCAAATTTAACACATTAATCCAATTTAAATTTCCTATAGTTCGGACCAACGGAACTCTGGGATTTCGAGGTACCATAATAGGTACCTGGAAATCCCAAAAATGTGAAAATTTGTTGATCAAATTTTAGCAGGACGTTAAGCAAACATAAATTGGTTGGTGGTGACTGGCACCATGGAATTTTATGACTTTCCATTCAGTTGGGAATGTCAGAATGTCATCATACCAGCTGACGAACTCATATTTTTCAGAGGGGTAGGTATACCACCAACCAGTAAATCTACCGCCCTGTTTTTTCCTGGAGCCTTTTGATTGGGGTTGAACATGGCCTACTGCCATATGCATCCATATGCCACATGCCATTATTATCCCAAGATTATCCCCACTAAATCACATAAAACCATATCAAACCATATTAACCCATGATTCTCTCAATTTTCTCCAATTTTTGCCATCTTTTGGACCTCAATTCTTCAAGACCCATGGCAACTGAGTTGGGATCCTTAACTTGACACGCCAGGTTCTCTCTTCCAGCTGTTCCAAAGCTTGACGGACGATGAACTGTTGGCCTTGGTCTCCTATACCTACGACTTGCGCCCTGGATGTGTTAAGTATGTTTTGCTCATGTTTATTTCAATGGTTACCCTCTGGTAAACTAACAAAGCTGCAGAACATCATCATTTTTAGTGCATAAATCAACTATAGACGACCATTTTCAATGGCTATATTAAATTACCAGAGGGTATGCCCTGTTTATTTCAGGAGTTGACCATGAGAAAAAAAAATCGTCAGATTTGGGGATGACATGGAACAGCATGGGATACAACCTACGGGTGCAGTTGAGGTCATCAATGGATACAGTACCCATGGTGGATGCAACCCCTACAACCATGGTTATACCCATTTATACTGCCCACCCAAGTACGTAGTCCATCGCTGTGTTTGGAGACATCGCTGGATACATTCGTATTTTTGCATATTTTTGCGGGTGACATTCCCATGTTTAGGTGAAGTTCCCATGTATATATCTGTGGATGGTTGCGAAATCACCAGTTGGTAACTATGAAGGTATGCAAACAATATCAAACAATTGCATCAAAAAGCGGGATATATGTGGTATACTGTGGTTTCGTGTCCCCATCTACACCTGGCTTCATCGCAGATCATCCGCAGTCATATCCCGTTGCCGTCCTGACGACCGAGGCGCAAGAAGTATCCCAAGGCTGATGGAAAGCTGAACTTTGCAGCGCAAGTTTCCGTGGCGGTGCTGAATGAGACTGAAGATCCTCACATGAACGTTTCTTGGCAGTTGAGTTGAATCGATATTATATAAAAAAGATATAAAACATATATGAACAACGTATCTATCAGTTTGTTGGATGTTTCAACTGTTTGTTCATCGATGGCTTTTTGCGTCGTGTAAAAAATCCTGCCGATGGGCGGTCTCCACTGACGAATATTTTTCGACGTTGGTTTTTTTCCTCGTAGAAACCAATACGCAGACATACTCTTCACCAAAAAAAGCCCAAAGTTTTCTGCTTACTATAGAAACCAATGTCTGTTTATAGAAACCAAAGTTGGGATCACCAATAAACTGAGCTGAATTTGTTTGTTTTTCTTTCTATATACTCTTCACCAAGCCCAAAGAATTTCGGGCAATTTTGGTGATCCCAACAAGGTGCTGCCGCGAAGCCCAGTAAATTGGCCTTGGAATCACCATAAATCAACTTATATAGCTATCTCCAACTTAGCTGCTTAGCTATCTGGGGCGCAGCACCTTGAAATTCGGATGTTTTTTTCACAGCCACAAATCAGGTTTGCGTGCACCACTTCAAGACCCTTGGCGAGCAACTGGTGAACGGGGAAGGTTGCTGGGCTGATTGTCTACGACCTCACGTCGAGAGTCGCGCGGTGACTGAAAAAATAATGGTCACTGACGGCAAGTATCCCAAAATCGCATAAACTCACCTTGTTTCAGGTTGGTGAATCGTTAATTTCATACAGATCTGTATTTACACACATGATATGTATATATATATATATAATATGTAATATATATATATATATATGTTTCAATGCCGTACGCACATACACACATATCATACATCATTTAAAGCCCTTCATACAGGAAGGGGCCTTGATGTGATAAGTTGGTTTACAACCCCATTGAGCTAGCTCGATATATCCACCCACTCGAAACTAGCTAACGTTTTGGGGGGTCCTTCCTGCATGTAGAGGATTCATTGGGGTTTCTCTTGCTATCAAAATGGGTTTGTCTGAAAAATAGGCTACTTCCAATTCCAACGGATTCTCATACTAAAAAAATTGCCATATTTTGCCTAAGAAAGTGGCTGTTTGTGAGTATCCCCTATTTTCAGACAAACCCGCTCGTATACAAAATCTACAAACTTCGCCCTGGTGTCAAAGTCCAAAACCCCGTGGAAGTCGATGATTCGTCAATCTTCAGGATCATCAACAAGAAGCAGCACAGAACACAATAATGTGGTAAACTATATAATCAATAAACCGGGAACCTCTGGAACCTCTGGTATCCTGGAGATCCTCAGGAAAATCCCATTGATGGTATGATAGATTAGATATGATACTATTCAAGATATGATATTGATTAGATATGATACTAACCTTTGATATGATGATTTGATATCTACATGATATGAATATATTATGATATGATAGATATGATTTATGATACTAATCAATGATCTTGAAAAATATGCTCTAATAATATTCATGATATCAATGGCCATTTCAGGATCCGATTGATTGGAGGTACCTAGCATATATAAGGCCAATTTTTTAGGCCTAAATTTCAGGGGATATCCCCACAACATCTGGCCAAACATATGGTACGTTTACGTACCTCCATTTTAGGATCCTGGAATTCCCATTGATATAAATGAAATAAACGTATCCATGACCGAGGATGGTTTCAATCCCAGCCATAATTTTATGGCGACTTGGGGATGGTGCAGATGGCAATGGGTTTACCACATTATATACTGTTTTTATTTTTCAACCATATCTGATTGGTGGTTTGGAACATGATTTTTTTTATTTTTCCATATATTGGGAAGAATAATCCCAACTGACTCATATTTTTCAGAGGGGTAGGTATACCACCAACCAGATATTTATTTAAGAAGAGTTTCAACGGATTGATTGCAGGTTGCCATGTCTTCCCATGCAATTTTGGGGCGACCCTCTGGTGACTCTGGTAATTTGTTACAGTTCGAAATTTTGAACATGGCCCAGTCGAAATAGTGGATTGAATGATTGACCCATTGATAGCATGGTGATTTTCCAGTTCGTTATGTAAACGTTTACCAGAGGGTATATCCCATTAGATCCCATTAAACCACCATAAATTCCCATTAGTTCCCATTAAAATGGTTAATTTACCAGAGGCAGCCTCTCCCTTCATCCAGCTGTGCGTGTCATCCTGTGCGTAATCCTGCGCAAAAAATCGAGGTCAAATTTCCATGACGCGCTTACCTACTGGTTGTAGGTATACCCTCTGGTTATTTAACAGTTCGCCATGGAAAACGGCCCATTTAAAGATGGTTTACCTATTAAAAATGGTGATTTTCCATGGCTATGTTAAATTACCAGAGGGTAAATGTCGAACTATCCAAGTTTCAAATTTTGATGGGTGATGTGCTGTGAGCAACACACTTCTTCGGTTAAGGTTGCCGACTCTCCTCCTTATTCTCCATCCGGTTTGTGTTTGAATTGCAAGTCCAATGCTTGATAGTTGGTGATATTTGTTGATGTTTGAATCTTTTTCATCTTAAGATTCTAAGTCATATGTAATTAGTTCAACATGTTTCGGTGTTTGAGTTGTTGTTTTCCATACACCAAAAAGGGCGGCTGCAGCACTGGGGTGCTGCAGGACAGCGGTGGAGAAGTGCCGATCTGCAGAGCAACCAAGAACCTTATACTGTGACCTGGCCACCAACGAGAGCCCTGTAGGTGGGCCACCCCAAACGAGAGCCCCTGTGTTTATTTAATGTAGCGAACTGGAACATCACCATGAAAAAATCGGCAACTCATCATGGGAAAATCATCTATTTCTATGCGCATAAATGCCATAGCTATATTAATAACCAGAGGGTAGCCAAAGTTAATGTCATCCCCAACCCTTGATAGGTAGTTTAATCCTCTAGTCTTTTGCTATAAATGGATTCGAACATATGATAATATATCAGGGAACCATCAAAAGATCACAGGTGTTTGTGGACTACCAGTCAGATTGACCATGATGTTAGTAAAGCAATGCCAGAAATCACCATTGTTTTGATGGTTGATATATGGTTTATAGCAAAGTGTTAATTTGGAGATGGTGTTTTATATCTAGGTTAACTAGGCTTTATGCTGATTACAACTATAGTTAGAAACTAGGCGGATTTATACATCAATAAATGCATATCTATATATATTACAACTGCTTGGCCCAGCTTGTATATCTTTTAACTTGACACAGGGGTTGATGAAGATAAACATGGTCACCTCCATGTTTCTGGTTACCAGAACGGTAAATAACCATGGTGTACCGGCCCTGGGCCCATCGAAGTTTTTGAAGGTCGTGGCTTATCGACCACTTACTACCCTCTGGTAAACATACAAAAAGCTATGGAAAATCACCATTCATAATAGGTAAATCAACTATAAATGGTTCATTTTCAATAGCTATGTTAAATTACCAGAGGGTAAATGGTATCCCAAAGAATTCCAGCTGGAAATGGTTTCTGGAAATGGTGGAAAGTCACCATGAATGGTGATCTACTGATCTACTGATCGATGGGTGATGTTCGTTTTGCCATGTTTGATGACAAGAGGGTAAGGGAAAATCGACCGGACACCATTTTATCGAAGCAGCACGATACTTACGGCGGCCACTCTCCAGACTTTCCCCTGAAGAAATCCTGGACATTATTCGGATGTTTGTGGTGCCATGGCCAGAAGCATGATCACAACTAGTAGTTTCCCTCAATTAGTAAATTGTAAGCCTAGTATTACTTAATGACTCTTATACAGAATTATATATAGCTGGTTGGTGGTTTGGATTTTTGTTTTCCATATATTAGGAATAATCAAACATAATCAAACTGACGAACTCATATTTTTCACAGGGGTAGGGCTCAACCACCAACCAGATAGGAATTGTTTCATCTTACGGGATACGTCGCCCAGTGCGGGAAATCCCCCAGCTGGTTGATTTCCCGCGGTTTCGTACCGGATTCTGTTTATTGTGGATGATTACTGGAGGACTACCTGTGGGTAAAAAAAATCATCTCTAAATCTGCTATCCACAAAAAATCTAGTTATTTTCTGTCATTATAATTGATGGTATTATTGTGGATTTTTGTGGATGGTATTGTGGATGATTATAGTATCTGTGTATCTCAAATAATCAGCTATCCATCCCCCTGCTTGGTTTCTAGCCATTTTTCGTTGCGGAATCCGCGTCGGTTGGTTGAGTAAATCCTGCGAAGGGCGGGGCAGCGCCTCATTTGAGTGTTCAACACCTCGGTTGGTGGATGATTATAGAGGATTACACTAACCAAGATGTAGGGCATAGCCATCCATGACCCGGGAATCTCTATTTTTTCCATCCAGTATAAATTAAGGGACAATGTTTCGGGTTGTGAAACATTGCTCAATGGTATCATCAATTCTCCGCAAGGTGGTTTTTCACCCCAGTTATAACTGGCTTAGAATCCCATTCATTGCAGATACCCTCTGGTTATTTAACATGGCCATGGTATAGATGGCCTATTTATAGATGGTTTACCTATTAAACATGGTGATTTTCCATGGCTATGTTAAATAGCCAGATGGTATATCACCTAGAAACCATAATGAAATGGGACTTATTCATTTGTAACTGGCTTACAATCCCATTAATTACAGATATATCACCAGCAAAAACCATAGTGAAATGGGACAAATTCATTTGCACCAACCAATCGCGATGAATCGCTCACTGGGGCACCACCCTGCATTGGCCATTTCAGGAACCTAAATTGGAGGTACCTACCATATATAAGGCCTATTGGCCTAAATTTCAGGGAATATCCCCACAAAATATGGCCAAACATATGGTACGTTTACGTAGCTCCATTTTAGGATCCTGGAATTCCCATTGAATATACATACATCTATATATATACTTTCCACTTGGGGGTGCATCCCAGCTAGTGTTTTTTCACGCTATTGTTGGCTTTCAGGTGCGGTGATGCCAAATTGCATGGAGCATCTACGACAGTTGCAGCCTGACGAGGAGGTCCCAGTGAACTGGACCTGGGTGTGGGACGTGGGACCCAGAGGACCCAGCCCTTGGAAGTGGTGAATAGCCCGTACAATGTGAGGCCCCCCAGTGATGTTTGTTGGTTAACAAAAGCCCCGGTAATTATAGTTATAAGTACCATAAACCATAGTGAAATTGGAGTTATAAACCAACTTAGCTATCTTGGGGGCCTCACATTGTAGGTATATTTTTTATATCATAGTATATTTTTTACACATACCCTTTGGTAATTTGACATAGCGAACTGGAAAATCCACCCATCTGTAACAACGGTAAATCAACGAACTAAATGGGCAATTTTCCAGTTCGCTATGTTAAATTACCAGAGGGTACATATTATACATATATTCATATACATACCCATAGGATCCATGTATGCTATATATGGTAACATGGATCCCATCAATATATCCCCAATTTTAGCATATATACCAGCACCATGGATCCTATGGGATATACATATATACACTAGCGGTATATCCCAAATGTAGCTGGCTTCGATGAATTCGCTTCTTCAAATCGTTTTCTTTCACGACGGGGTCTGCCGCACATCCAAGGCACTGGATCGTCGGATCGGGATACGCAAAGAAAAATTGGATCTTAGCCATGCTGTTAGATATATTGGATTATCACTGGATTATGTAACTTATCCCAAAAAATGGGGGAAAACATATATGAAAACATTGGAATCTTATCCACTTATTCAGACTTATTCATAATGATATCCCGTCATTTTTTGTGCTTCAATCACCATTCTTTCCATCATTTTCGGTGGTTCTTTGGTTTTTGCATTTTCCCATGATTTGCCACTGGGCGCAGGTCTTGTGGCCCAGCTATACGAGTTGGACCACAAACCAGGAGATTTTGCTGGGAAAATGGGGATCGGGTTGCCTGGTGCCTCTTTGTTTGTTGGTTTTTGGATGTTTTTGTTGGTCAGAAAGGCTACTGCAGTGTTGCAGCCTTGCAATGTTTTTTTTTTTTTTCCAGTTTTACTGTGACAAAATCCTGGAGAGTGACTGTTTTCCATGGGATTTGATTGATCCATGGTCACCTGGCTGAAAGCTAAGCCCCAGGCGCGCATCAACCTCCAGATTTCTTGAAACGATGACTTGCTCGGCCCCTTAAGAGCAAAGTAAATGGCATGAACCAGACCATTCAAAGTGACTTCTTTCTCCCTTGGTTTGAGGTCACTTAACCCTTGAAATGGTCACTTACTAGGCCCAAAAAAGTCACTTTGAACTGTCAGGAACTTGGTTAACAATGGTTTATGGTAGATATATCGAAGTAGTTACTCTAAAGTTGTAGCCCTTAACATATATGATATTTATGGCCACGGGATGAAATAAATCTTACAACTGGTTGCTCTAACATATCACTCAAATGTGTTTTTTTTCTTAGCCAATTATCACTGCTAAGGGCCATAAGCGTGATGCATGGGAGACCCACTCCTGAAATACCTTAGATAGTCGACCCGCCATGTGAACATGAAAAAGCAGTCATCAAATACCTCCCAAACCTCTGGCTCAGCGACTACCCACCATAAACAATAGGTTTTCGATGCTTGTGCCA